TGCAAGTGCTCTTCCACTAAATGGCCAAATTAGTAGAGGAAATTATAATTCAGGGAGTCCCTTGACCTCGAAGTCTTCCTATAGATGTTGTAACAGCATCCTCACAGCTTTTGACTTTAATGTTGTGTAAACAATAAAAGAAGAAAGAAATGGTGAAAATACTAAATGACTGCTTACAACATCAGTATATTGATTTGGTTTTCCAGGCGTTTTATGGCTGTCTATTGTAGCAGAGCTTCTGTACATCATTTTACTTCTGATTGGAGCCATTCTTATGTCAGTAGAAATGTGCTACTACAGTACCGTCATTGATGGGCTAAAGATCAACGCCTTTTCTGCAGTAGTCACCGTATTAGCAGGTACAGTTAAGGTTCTTGATTTATTCCGTCCATTGATAGACTTCCACCTGAAATTTAATAACAATGTCTGAGTTTCAAAACTGTAATAATACCCATGTAGACACTAACCATACAAGGCGCAGCAAAATTTAATGGAAAATATTATTTTAAATTGTTTCCTATTATGATTGGTTTTGTATTTTATTTTTATAGTTTTTACTATTTTTAACTTATTTTAATTTTATAATTTTTAATTTCATTGTCAGGTTGGTTGTCAAAGATAAAAAAGTAACATACTCTTCCAAATAACTTGATTTTTTTTTTAATTTCCAGGTATAGAATTAGCAATAGCCAAATTAAAATAGCACTTTTAAGAGGGATTAAAGTATAAGTAGATAATTATTAGTAGAGAATCATCATTAAAATTGTCTTTAATTTTCTGCATATTATTTAATCATAGGATTCTTGCCAAATTCAGTTTGGAAGTAACTTCAGAGTCCCTAGTCCAATCTGAAGAATCTGGTCTTGACTTGGTGTTGACTGTGTGTCGAACAGAAGGAGCTTGAACCAGAGACTTCTGAAGGTGTCTTACAGCCTGAAGTGCTCTGTGATTCTGTCTATATCATAGAAATGTTACTGAGGAATGTTACAGTAAAAACAGCAATTATGGATAACATTAACAGAGTTTCACAGAGTTGTTAATTTTAGAGCCAGAAGCAATCATACTGTTTATTTGCTATAATTTCTTGCAGAACACATGCCACTGTGCTTCATATGGTCAGGATTGTTTAGAGCCCAAAGTGATTTATAGTTGGTGAAAGCATATATTTTGGAAAAACATCTAATTGCAAGTCAAACACCTGGCAGATGGCAAAGAATTAATCTCAGGATTGTAAATTTTGGGCTTTGATCCTAATCTTCGTGTTTCTGGATTTAGTATTCTTGTATTTGTGATTGTTGTGCCTTTCTTTATGAATTAAAGATTTTTACCGTACTTTTTCCACTCAAACATTTAATCCATTTGCCAATCTAATTTTTGTTGGCTAAATAAATCAAATTTATTAAGTGTCTGACCATAATCATGAGGAAGAAATTATTTTCTTCCTTTCTGCAGAGGCCTTTGCATAGTTGAAGACAACTATCACATCTCATCTTCATTTTTTCCAAAAGAAATGGTTGAGAAACATGCCACATGGCTTCGCATGTATTTCTAGACCTCTGAACACTGTTGCTGCTCTAGTGTTTCTCTAGTCCAGTTTTTGCATGGTCTGCCTAGAGGGCAATGCTAAATGTGGACACTGGGTCAAACCTGCAAGGACTTTAACAAACACAATTCATATTCCAGATGGTAACTTCTGAAAGTCTAGTTTTTCTTAATTTTATGGAAGTGCAAAACTTCTAGGGACCCATTACTATGCCCTGAGTTTGGCTCAACTCTCATAAACCTTTCCTGACAGAAAGCTATCTAGCCCCATCTTAAGAAAATCCCCAGGCTGAAAAAAACCCACAACCACAAAAAACAAAAACAAAAACAAAAAAGTTTCTGTCACCTTCTTAGGAAATATATTCCAATTCATTCTGTTCTGAAAATTTACATGTCTAATCTAAAGCCTTGGTTGCTGTGATTTTTTTACAGCATTTCTTTTAGGATATCCACTTGCAACAGAGAGCAAATTATTCCTCCCTCTTTGCAGTTGAAGACTGCTATCTCAGCTCCCTGTAGTCCAGAATGCAGTACCCAAACTTTGCTTCCTATGAACCCTGAGAACCTGCTGGAATATCTCCTTTCTTCTGAATGACTTTCCTGAGAGACGTCCAACTAGTTAAATGTCTCTATTATCACTAGTATCACTAACTGCTCAAAAAAGCCTAATTTCTCCCTTAACTCACCAAACCTCATGATCCACTGTCATATCTATTTCCAAAGAAAGAGTAGTGAGCTTTATTCAACTCTTTAAGGAGTTTTGGCCACTATTAGCAACATTTTCCTTTCCCAATAATAATAAGTATTCACTTTTATACATATTCTATTTGCTTTTGGCCTGTACAGTATTAAGGAGGCTTACAGAGCAAGCAGCAAGCTTTTTCTGGACATTCTGTTTACTTCCACTAGTAAAATGTCTTGAAATATTAGAGAGTCGAAGAACATCTGTCTCAGATGTTAAACTTATGTATAAATCCTTTGTAGATTTAAAACAAATCTAGTTGTCCTAATCTGTAATGAAGGTGTAATTTCTTGTACAAACATGCTTTCAATTCTGGCAGACAAATGGAAATTAAAACTCAGCTACAGGAAACAGTAGCTGCATGATTCTAACTATATTGAAAGCATAAAAATTAAAAAAACACCAAACCTGTTACTGTATTTAAAAACACATTCAAGATAGTGTTTGATTTCTCAGTGCCCTCAGTCTTTAGCTTAGGCTGAATAAAATCCTAAAATTTAAGTTCTAACTTGTGCAGAACATGGTTATGTAGAAGAAGAATCACAATGTGAAATTTTCTGACCATAGGTAAGTAGGTTTATAATGTCCCAAATGCAGCTTTTGACTCTAGAGAAATTATTATTCTAATTTTTGAGTTTTTTTTCCTAAATACATGTGCCCTGCTAGTTAATTCCACTGCTATGAAATACACATTATTGGTGCCACTGCCACTGTTGCCCTCAGCAGCCTCTGATGAAAAGAACATTGACAGGCACCCATATACAACTATGCTTGTCTTTGATATGTGAATTAGTTAAATTTTCACCATTTCTCAGGCACCAAATTGCCCTGAAACCACTGCTGAAGTGTTGAGCCAGAGTCAGGATTTAATCCTTGTATAAGAGCTAAGAGGAGATCTCCAGCACAGGAGCTCATGTTCACACTCCAGTTATATGCATTTCTAGGCAGACAGACTGGAGGATTCAGGACAGCCACGCATGTAACTCAGAAATGACTGTGACATAGCACTGCGCTGGTGAGAGACAGACAATTGGTATCCATTCTCTAACAGCCAAACCACTCTCTCTAAAGATTTTATTAAGGAATATACTATCAGGGTGCCAGCTACCTAACAAATGCTTCGCAGCATGAAGCCTCTTGGCTGTGTGTTACATGTTAGGGCTCTCCTAATTGCCTGTTGATGGTGTTTCAAGCACTACCAGTATTGCAGAGAAGACCATTTCCCAGTGATGACTGAAGCCAGGTCATTGTCCGCCCTAACTTATTATGCCCAAGGACATGTATCCTAGACTGAGAGATACTGTACGCTAGCTATTTTTGTGAGAACTCATGTAACAACATGATTTAGGAACAGCTAACAAACTGGGTCTTGTGAGTTTGGTGGGGGACCGTCTGCTCTGAGAAGCTAATGTGTTTTAGACAGTGGGACACTGCAAGTGTATTTATGGGTTTGTAAATGAAGCTGAAGCAAAAAATATAGATGTTCACAGAGAAGTTCACTACTGGAGAATAAAATGCTAAAGGAAAACAGATACTCAGGATTAGGCAGAAGCCTAGTAGCAATTTTGAAAATTGAATGATTAAATATAAGCCTCTTTCATCATCTAGACTGCCATTGCTTTTTAATGGCCATTAAGTGTTTGATCACTTTTTCATTCACCTACATAGCACTGATAAATCTGCCTGCATTTAAGACCCTGGGAAAGGGCATATGACTGCATGCCTTTGAAAAATCTTGCCACTGAATGATAGGAAACGGAGATGTTTTCAGAGATGAGAGCAAATCAACTTGTTGCCTTTTAAAATCTGTGGGCTACATGTCCCATTGCTCCTCTAGATTCCTTTGGCATGCAGAGAAGGTGTCAAGGAACTGTATTAGTGATTGTATTGGCAAATACATGACACCTAAATACACTTAGATTATAATGTCCAGTATTTTTGAGTGATTTATAGAGTTTAGATACTTCATAAAGTATCAACTCAAGGGTCAACTGCAAAAAGCTGACAATGAAGAATGCCCTCAATTTACATTTTCTAATATTCTTATATCATATTTTTCAGGTCTTCTTGGCATGGTTGCTCACATGATGTACACAACTGTATTTCAAATGACTGTAAATCTTGGTCCTGAAGACTGGAGACCCCACACATGGGATTATGGCTGGTCCTATTGGTACCTATCAGTTTATATTTGGTTATTCCATTACATTTCAGCCACTTCACCCTATTTTCAAGGAATGTATACCTAATCTATAATGAATAGCTCTATCTTATTTCACTCCTGAGGATGCAGTTCATTTTCTCCAAATTCATTTGTCTTAGATAATTGCACAGAATGTATAAGCTTCCAACTGCTCTGCATGAAGCAGAGGTTCTTCTCCATACACATCAGAACAAATTCTGCACCCCCCATCTCTCAGAACAACTGCCTTGCATAAGTTGTTTAAAACTCTTCCAGCTTTTGTCATGTAGGCTGAATTTTTCCTTATCAGATATAAGCTTCAGGTGTTGTATCTAGAACATTTCAGACAAGATGTTTCAAATTTTTTAAAACAGGCTTAGGTAAAATACATTATTTTGGCTCTGTAAATAATTGAAATATATCCTCGAAGGAGATCCAGTAAATTTCTTAAGAAAGAAGGTTCATAGAATCATAGAATCATTTGATTGGAAAAGATCTTTCAGATCATCAAGTCCAACTAGAACCTGTCCACCACTAAACCATGTCTCTAAGCGCCTCATCTACCTGTCTTATAAATCCCTCCAGGGACGGTGACTAGACCACCTCCCTAGGCAGCCCATTCCAATATCTGATAACCCCTTCAGTGAAGACATTTTTCCTACTATCTAATCTATTTCCTCTCACTCTATTGCTTGTTGCTTGGAAGAAGACGCTGACCGCCCACACTATACTCTCAGGTAGTTGTAGAGGGCAATAAGGTCTCCCCTCAGCCTCCTCTTCTCCAGGCTAAACAACCCCAGTTCCCTCAGCTGTTCTTCATACAGCTTGTAAGGATGAGGGTAGGATGAGAGTGAAGGCTAACAAGGCTGATATCCTGCTAGGAGTCTGTTATAGACCACCCAACCAGGATGAAGAGGCAGATGAAGCATTCTACATGCAGGTAGGAGAAGTATCACAAACACTAGCCCTTGCTCTTTTGAGAGACTTCAACTTACCAGATGTCTGCTGGAAATACACCACAGCAGAGAGGAAACAGTCTAGGAGGTTCCTGGGGTGCATGGAAGACAAGTTCCTGATACAACCGGTAAGTGAGCCTACCAGGGGAGGTGTCTCGCTTGATCTGCTGTTCACAAAGAGAGAAAGACTGGTGGTTGGAAGCTGGCTTGGCCTTAGTGACCATGAAATTATAGAGATCTCAATTCTTGGTGAAGCAAGGAGGACGGACTTCTGGAGGGCAGACGTTGGCCTTTTCAGGACTGTCTCAGGTAGAGACAGTCACTTGGGAAACAGTCCTGAAGAGCAGAGGAGTCCAGGAAGTGTGGACTTTCTTTAAGAAGAAAGTCTTAAAGGCACAAGAGCACACTATCCCCATGTGCCATAAGACGAACCGGAGGGGAAGGCAACAGGCCTGGCTGAGCAGGAAGCTTTTGCTGGAACTTGGGGAAAAATAAGAGAGTATACAACTTTTGGAAGAAAGGGCCAGCAACACAAGAAGTGTACAGGGATCTTGTCAGGTCATGCAGAGAGAAAATTAGGAGAGCAAAAGCCCAGCTAGAACTCAATCTAGCCACTGTCGTAAAAGATAACAAAAAATGTTTTTACAAGTACATTAATAGCAGAAAGAAAGCGAAGGAGAATCTCCACCCTTTAGTGGATGCAGAGGGAAACATTTCCACCAAGAACAAGGAAAAGGCTGAGGTACTTAATGCCTTGTTTGCCTCAGTCTTTAATAGTCAGACCAGCTGTCTTCAAGATATCCAGCCCCCTGAGCTGGAAGACAAGGACTGAGAGCAGAATAAACCTCCCATAATCGAAGAGGAAGCAGTTAGTGACCTGCTATGCCACTTGGACACTCACAAGTCTATGGGGCCAGATGGGATCCACTCAAGAGTACTGAGGGAGCTAGCAGAAGTGTCTGCAAAGCCACTCTCCATCATTTATCGGTTAACTGGGGATGTCCCAGGTGACTGGAAGCTCGTCAATGTGATGCAATCTACAAGAAGAGCCAGAAGGAGGATTTAGGGAACTACAGGTCTGTCAGCCTGACCTCGGTACCACGGAAGATTATGAAGTGGGTTCATCATGAATGCTCTCATACGGCATGAGCAGGACAAACAGGGGATTAGACGAAGCCAGTATAGGATCAGGAAGGGCAGGTCCTGCCTAACCAACCTGATTTCCTTCTGTGGTCAGATGACCTGACTAGTGGATGAAGGAAAGGCTGTGGATGTTGTCTACCTGGACTTTAGTAAAGCCTTTGAAACAGTCTCCCACAGAATCCTCCTAGAGAAACTGGCAGCTCATGGCTTGGACAGGTTTACTCTTCACTGGGTTAAAAACTGGCTGGACAGCCAAGCATAGAGAGTGGTGATGACTGGAACTAAATCCAGTTGGTGGCCAGTCACAAGTGGTGTTCCCCAGGGATCAATTTTGCGGCCAGTTCTGGTTAACATCTTTATCAATGATCTGGATGAGGGGATTGAGTGCATCCTTAGTAAGTTTGCAGATGACACCAAACTGGGTGGGAGTGTTGATCTGCCTGAGGGTAGAATGGCTCTGCAGAGGGACCTAGACAGACTGGATCTATGGGCTGAGGTCAATATGCTGGGTCCTGCACTTGGGTCACAATAACCCTATACAGCACTACAGGTTTGGGAAGGAGTGGCTAGAATGCTGCCAGGCAGAAAAGGACCTGGGGGTACTGATTGACAGCCGACTGAACATGAGCCAGCAGTGTGTCTAGGTGGCCAAGAAGGCCAAAAGCATCCTGACTTGTGTCAGAAATAGTGTGGCCAGTAGGAGTAGGGAAGTGATTTTGCCCCTCTGCACTGGTGAGGCCGCACCTTGAATACTGTGTTCAGTTTTGGGCCTCCCACTAAAAAGGACATTGAGGGACTGGAGCATAGCCAGAGAAGGGCAGTGAAGCTGATGGAGGGTCTGGAGAATAAGCCTTATGAGGAGTGGCTGAGGGAGCTGGGATTGTTTAGTTTGGATAAGAGGAAACTGAGAGGAGACCTGAGAGGTTGCAGCGAGGTGGGTGTTGGTCTCTTCCATGTGACTAGTGACAGAACAAGAGGAAATGGCCTCAAGCTGTCCCAGGGGATGCTTAGATTGTATATTAGGAAAAATATCTTTACTGAAAGAGTGGAAACTGGAATACACTGCCCAGGGAGGTGGTGGAGTCACCATCCCTGGAGGTGTTCAAGTGTGTGGATGTGACACTTCAGGACGTGGTTTAGTGGGCATGGTGGTGTTAGGCTGACAGTTGGACTTAATGATCTTAGAGATCTCTTCCAACCTTGATGATTCTGTGACTGTGCTTCAGACGCCTCAGCAGCTTTGTTGCCCTTCTCTGGACACACAGAGAAGGTTGTTCAGAAGACTTTTGCTATATGGATATGTCTTTGAAAATCCATCAAATCTGATCAGTAGTAAGCATTTGAATATTCAGGTTCTGGAAACTGCTGCTTTTTCCTCAACTGCAACAGAGAAATAGCAACAACTGTATTGGGTTAAATCAAAAGTCAATCAAGGTCAATATTTTGGACCAGTAGAGCGGATCTCAGGCTGATTGTCTCCTTCATATGTGCTCTGACAGCTGAGATTACACTCATTGTCACTCATTCATGCTGCCCTTTCTACTTTTATTGTACCATTACTGAGCAAGAGCTTATAGCTGCATGCTATGCGTAGTCTTTATGATGCAGAATTGCTAGGAATTTTTGCAGTGAAATAAGGGTTTCTTTTGTCTTTTGTTCTGTTACTTTTCACATTCCTAGTAACTCAAATCTCATATGAAGGTCACTTTGCATTGCTCTGCATCTTTCCAGGAGCCTGTTTGAAGTAGTTTGTTTGAAGCTATTGTTACATGTGTATGAGTGAAGATGTTTCTTTAGTGCTTTCAGAGCACTGAAGGATGGCCCTGGTCAGTACTCCCAAGCTGAAGATTAGCCAGATCATGACAAATGATGTAACTTATCCTGTTTGTCCAGTCCATGAGGTGGGCCAGCACCCATATGTCTCCCACTTGCTGAAAGGATGTTCCCCGTTTGGTCAGGAAGAACTTGTCAAAGAAGGATCAATACTAAGTACCCAGACAATGTCCAGGGGCTATCTGGATATCCTCAATGGGTATCACAGGAGCTGTGCAGGATCCTCAAATAGTGCCTTCTTCCCTCCTTCCAGACTTAAAAGCTTTTTGCTGCTTCGGCTCTCACTGCTTCTATTCATTCATGTTTTTTGTTCTTGCAATAATCATAGTCTGGTTTCCCTGGTTTGAGTCTCTGATCTTATTTTCTGGGAGGTCTCTCTCTTTCTTTAATGAATGGGATTAGACCTGTTTTTACTCTAAAATCATTAAGAAGAGTGGTCAGTGGAAAGAGGGGAGGTGTTCCTTTGTTACTTTTCCCTTCCTGTGGGAGTGGAAACAGAAAACTGCAGCTCAGTACTGAGAAGCCTGTTACCTCCTTTCCATCCCACTGGGAGGAGAAGAAAAACACCCAAATCAGTCATTTTTGCTGTTACTGAAACAACTCTATTTATGCCACTATGGCCACCATCACTGTATTCATCACTGATGTTGTCACTGCTGCCACTACAACCGGCCTCCTTCTGCACACCTGGACTAATTACTTTCACTATATGGCATGCACTCAGGAATTGAGGATTTCATGGCTGCCTTTCAGCAATTCAGTGCAGCCTGGGCCATTGGAATCTCCAAAGAAATTCTTCTACCACCACAAGACTTTCCAAGCCATCAGTACCTGCATACAAGAAGATATTCAGGAGAAGGGGCTGTGTGGTGCCTTTTTTCTAATAAATTGTATGCTTCATTTTGCTACCAAGATTCACTTTCTTCTTTCTTTTTCTCAGCCTAATTGGTAGCTACATCACCCTGTTTGAAAATAATTTAAATATAAGTGAGCCATACATACAGGTGTATGTTTTCTCCCTTGGTTTCTTTCCTCTTATCTCCTTTCGTATATTGGATTGGCCAAAAAGTATTTTTTTTTCCTGGGTAAATGAAAGCACAATTTTTCATGGAAAACAAAAACTGTATTAAACAATATATTGTCCATTTTCATATAATCACATAATCATTGAAGAAGGTTGGAAGAGAAGGATCCACAAGGATCATCTAGTTCAACCTTTCAAGGTAAAAGTATAGTTTAAATGAGATGAGTCAGCACCCTGTCATTTTGCCATAGTTTGGCAACTTCATGATTCCACGCTTAAAAAAGTTCTTATCTTTTTTTGGCAAAAAACTATTTTATATCCTCATCAGCAGTGAAGGTTTTACTATTCAAGGCATTTTGTAAAGAATGAAACAGATGGTCGTATGATGGTCTGGCGAATATGATGGATGTAGTAACACATCCTATTCCAGGCTGCAACAATTTTTGACAGGCGACCAAACTTGTATGTGGTCTAGCATTACCATGGAGAAACACACCACCTTTGCAATTTACCATTTCTGGATGCTTCTGTTTGATGGCTTCATTCCATTTTTTCAGCTGATGACAGTACATGTGTGAACTAATGGTTTGGATCCTTAGAAGCAATTCAAAATACACAATACCTTTAAAATCCCAAAAGACTGACAGCATAACCTTCCTTTGGTAAACATCTGCTTTTGAAATCCTTTGAGCTGGTTCACTACACTTGCTCCATGATCTTTTTTGTTTATCACTGTAGACGATTCATTTTTTGTTGCCTGTTATCACACATTTCAAAAATGGATCCTTTTCTTCACGTTTCAAGAGAGAATTGCAGATGTCAATGAACTTAGTGATATTAATTTCTTTAACTGCATGCAGTACCGAAATAACGAGCTTCCTAACATATCCAAGTTGGTTTAAATGGTTTTCAATGTTCAATTTTGATATGTTAAGATTATCAGCAATCTCTAGTGTCATTAAACACCAATTGGAGTTGATCTTTTTAATTACCTTATTTTGTTGTTATCAACTTCGATTTGCCTTCCTGAGTGTGGTGCATCTTTAACATCAAAATCTGTGGATGGAAATTTAGCAAACCAATTTTGACACTATCATAGTTTTAAGGCATCTTCATCATACACATCACATAACTTCTTATGAGCTTGCACACTATTTTTTCCTGTCCTGAAGTAATACAGCAAAATATGATTTAAATGTTCCTTTTGAGTTTCCATTTTTCAATCTACGCCAAATAAGTAATTGTTAATGAAATAATGCACTTCCTTTTTCTAAAACAAGCTTGAACTGTCAGCTCTCAAGGTACATAATGAGTTTGTGGTTTAAAATGAAGTTAGTTAGAATTCAAGACATGTATGTCTATAAAAAAAAAGCAATTACTTTTCAGCCAACTCAAGATAATGTTGTCTCCATTTGATAAGCTACATTTGTATCTCCCTTCCTGTTGTATGAACCCTCATCTTCAGCCTCCCTTAGCTACTCTCCCATTGACTGTATGTGAGTATCTCATCTGATGGTAAGAAAGGGAGTATGATGAAGCTATTTGTCTTTTGCAGGAGGAAACAGAACAGATGCCAAAACAAGGGACATTAGTGGTTATTAGTTGAAATTCCCTTTCTATTTACCTCAGCGTCCACTTGTGGCCAACAATGTCACCAAGACCATGACAGGCACATGGGCAGGCAGAGGTACAGGCAAAGACTTCACTACTTTTTTATTGGGACTTATAATCATTTTCTTAGTAGCCAAAAAAACCCCAAAGAATTGGGCTTATGGGAACAGCTTTTCATCCCAGTCACCAGACTAGTAGAGCAGTTATTCCAGCAAGAACTACTGACTCTCTGTCCTGGATCTTCTACCTGTCACAGTTCCTTCTCTGTCCTCATATCCAGCTGCTGTAGCCATGGTTTTTCTTCCACCTGGCCCAAGAAACAGGAAGACCTTTCTCCTTCCTTTACAGTGCCGGAATTGATAATGATGGGTAGACTTACCCTGTGGTGTTCCTGAACATCTCTTCAATAAATACCTCCATATTTCTCTTTTATTTTCTTAAGCAGCTTTCCTGGAGGTTGGAAGATGTATCTATTACTGGTGAATCACTCATTCTCCCTGTGTTTCTCAGACTGAGACACCCTCACATTAAGAGACAACAACTTGCCCTGCACTAAATTCCCATAATACCCCTCATATGGGATACTCCATGCAGTAAAAGGAAAACTCATAATCCAGCTGAGCTGCTATTGGCATTTCTCTAATGCATATGAATTACTAGTTTCTTTAGTCTGCTTCCTCATTGAGTCGACCTGTTTGATTTCCCCTTTTGTCATTTGTTTCAGGAAAGAATTCAAACTGAATGCTTCTTGAAGTTGAATTTCTACTGCAGCTAAAGTACCCCTTTAGTCTCTGGCTCTCTCAATGACAAGGCTGCTCACTTTCTTCCTCGGTTCTGTCTAGTCAGATGTGGGACTTATGGAAAAGCAACATTTCTGGCAAAAACTTTGTAGAATCACACTGATATCCTTCTTGTATTGTCAAAGGAAACCATTTATTTCTGTCCTTTTGTTTTTTTCTCTTTTAATACGGTATTGGTCTACAAGAGAATCAGATCATAGGAGATTAATTTATTTCCGTCTTGGCTAAGAAGCCTTTATAGAAGCTTTCTTGAAATCAGTTTCTTAACTTTATGTCACTGAGTCCTTCAACGGGCTTCAAAAGATGGAAGAGTACCTTCAACAAAAGCTGTGCTTCACAATATCAGTTTTATCAATTTGTCTACTAATGCTACTGTACTTCAGTTAGTCAACCAGAAATGCCTACATGAGTCAGGACTGCTGCAGACGTGTCACTTTTATCTCATTCCAGAGTCTAAAATCTTCTCTGCCATGGTTGGCTTAATCCACAGGTTACACAAAACCATAGTTAGGCCGGCTGTCCCATTCTTGCTCCAGTCACATGGGAAGGCAAATCTATCTGCTTCTGGTGATTTTCCCCTATTCTTGCTCTCTCTTTGTTATGAGAGCTCTTCTGTGGGTCTCCACATCTGAGAGTTAGTCAGGGTGTAATTTGACTGACTTTAGGAGGAAAGACAGCTTAAGCTGCTCCCATCTTCCTGCTTCTAGGAGCCCTTCACATCTATATGCCATACTCCACGATGCTCAAATTCTGTCAACACATATGGCTGTATGATCGCCCTGGAAACCAATCCTGGATAAAAATAATGCTTTTAAAAAGGAGTTATTTAAAAGTCAAAATGAGTTCATTGATGTACAGCAAGGATGTGGGAACAAACAGCTCTGAGGGAGAGAAGAGATAAGCAGGAGTTTCTTAACCTGAGTTCTCCACCAAAGCACATATAGAGAATCATTACCTTACCATGTTAAGAAAGGCTCTGATAAGTTCCTCTACTGTGAACTCCAATTCATTCCACTGTGGCCACATTTTTACATGCTACTTTTACACCTCGAGCATGCATTGCCCACTCAGTAGTCTGGAAGTTTCACTCACAGCAAGTTGAACCTCAACATCATTTTTTAGTTCTGTCATCTTATGTTTTTGCTTTTAACGTTTCAGAGTTGATGTCCTTTTCTCTTTACTTATGACCTCTATGTTCTCAGGAATGCATTTCAGTACCCTGAGCATGCCTTAGTCAGCTATTTCATTGTGCCTTCTCTGTTCTTTTTAGCTTTCGACTAACTAGCACACATTTTTTCCAGTGTTCCCTGTGAGATTTGTAGTCTCAATAACTGCACCTTTTAATTCTTTATGCATCCTCATTTTTTATAGTTGTTCTTTCTGATATTAAGCTCAAAGAAGAGTAAACAGATAAATTTGAAGTAGGGTTTCATTAAACAGGAATTTTAAATGTGAACAGTATAACAAATATGTAGAGGTCAACTATGTAAGTCAGGTATATGGATGGTCATTAACCAAGAATCTTTCTTCATCCCCCACCATG